ATCAAGAACCCAACAGATTACCAATACGGACTCTGAAATGTCTGAGAAATAAAAGCAGAAAGCTGAAGGAGTTTGTCTTCAAACGTATCCGTGCAAACATACCGAAGTCTTCCAAGCTTTATTGTTATGTGAAGGTTGGAAAAGTTAAAAAACATGAACGTAATACTCAGAGAATGAGCTTAAAAAAAGTAACAACATGAAATGTAAATTTTTCTTTAACTGCTCTGGCTGGATTTATCGAGGGATAATGAAGCTTAAATGTCGAGCAAATCGGTATTTATCATTGTTTACTTGCAATAGTTTGATGTGCTTGTACAAAAATCAGACCCATATATCGAATTATTTAAGCTGAGCACTGATGTAGACTGAAGAACCCTGGTCCTGCTCCAATGTGCATTGACCCTACCAAAAACAGTATCAGCCCCGTATAGCCAGTATAGTTAGTATTTGAATAAAATTCTCGACAACGTGTTGCAATGAGTTTGTGCTCTTTGATTTACAATAAAAAACATGGAATTAATTCTGCCAATGACCTCGTGTTAATTATGGATATTGGAAATCAGTTGTATTCAGGCTTGTCTCAATTAGCCAGACATGTTGAATCCTCTTCAATGCAGTCAGAATTACCATTGATGCTAAATGTATTTAACGATGACTATTAACTTCAGTACAGTGAAAGCTACTCTGGTACCATTCATCAAGAAGCCACCATAGAAGAATATCACTACTGTTGTTCTTTGCATAGAGCCTTTGAATCACTTATTGCTGAAAACTACACCAGAGCTGAAGAGTTTAGATAAAGTGAAAAGCTGAAAAATAAACTAAATGGAGCTCTGCTTTTAGGCTTGGCTAAATCTATATATTAGTTGTTGTCTTCATTGTTATCAATATTACCATATAACAAGCTCTCAGATCTGTGTTAAAACCCACTACAGTAGCAATTCTGTATTAACTACAGCACCTTTCAAAAACATTATTTCACACCAAAAAACATGCTTCCAATTAACCAAGTACAGAGCAAAGGCATGATAGGAAACTATCATAGAAAGTATTATGAAGACTTACCTTCAGAGGAGCTGTCAGTTGGTGGTGGAGATGTTACTGGTACATTTGTTGGACATGTTTTCCGTTTTATACCAGACACACTGAACTCTCCCAGTTTGTTACCTTGCTTAATCGTAGCATTTATAAGTGTTGTGATCACATAGGAAGTAAAAAAAATTTAAATTCAAAATATAGAAATGTGGGCAACTGGTAATCATCTCAATAATTTACATACCCCACACTTATTGACTGCACTCCTTCATAACCATATTTATCAGCAAAAACATTTTTAAGCTGCAAGTAAAAATCTCAATCATTTGACAAAAAATCTCAGCATAAATGTACCACACATGTGTACCTGTATTGTAGACATACATATTAAGAACAAATAAGAATGACACAATATTATGTACTAATTAATTAAAATTAGTACATAATATTGCCGTTTTGCTGAGAATCAGCTCAGAATCAACCGAAAGTCTATGAGCAACTTAGTGAGTCTGTCTCTTCAAAGAATGCCACTTCAATGAATGAATGTTCTTCTTCTTGTTACCTTCTTCATATTTTTTGGTGAAAAAAGCACCAAATCAATTATTTCCCTAAATACAGAGCAAGAGCAAAAAATGAATAATCATGGAGGTTGTGAAGAGCGTTTTAAGCTCAAGATTTTAAAGAACTCTGACAGACTGAGTGCGACCTAGAAATTTTAGAAACACTGTAGATTTAACATTAACACACATTCTCTCTAGTAGCTGAATTTCCTTTTCATCATTACACAACCAGCACATCACTCTCTGACCCTGGAGTAATCAAAAATCAGAACAATTATGATACAAAACTTAACACATCAAGTTAAGTTCAACACAGGCATAACCTTGTAGACATCCAGTAGATATTTTATGAATACTGTAGCTTTGTAGGCAATATCTAAGTTATATGCACAGCCTCTTCTACTGACGATTTGTTTAGTCCATCTTTACAAGAGTCAGTTTTGAGGATAATTGTTGTGTTAATCACATCTCCTCCAATGTCTGAAAAGTAGGAGAAAAATCATTGTTAAAAGACTTACTAAAAATTTTTATTGATACCAGTATTCCATTAGCAAAATGGGATTTCTGGAAACTTTGAGCCCCTTCTGAGGTTATTTCACCTTATTTTACCAGACAATTGAGGAGTCTGTTGCTTTCTGTTTGGTATACCACTTGTTATAAGAACAACTAGTATTTTTACCATAGCTTATGTGATCCTGGGCACTAGTTAACTCCTAATCATTATTTTCATTGGTGGAATGTAGTAGTTGTTTACCAATGACAGTTTGTGATATTGTTAATCAAATACACATACTCCATTAATTGGCCTTTTCTCTTCAGCATTAACAAGAGTGACAGTCAGACTAAAGTTTCAAAAAATCTCTTTAATTTAAGTGAAACAATTTAGGGTTACACAGTCACTCATATCAGACTAATCTTCTACTTACAAACTATAAGTAGATCATCGGGTAAATGTCGAGAGGTAACAAGATGTCATTCTCCTGCTCTAGCTTTTGAAAGCATTGTGAAATCGATGTAAAAAAGCTTCTCAGCATGCAATGAATAGAAGATGAAAGAAAACAACATTCTACAGTGTAATCCCCCCCCAAAATAAAAATCCAACACAATTATAGTTTTTGCAGTGTCTCAGAAACCCTGGGGTTATAGCTGTTTGCCCTACTTATGATACTCACAGCCATAAAGCACCTGAAGTTAAAATTACTGCAATGCTTTCATTGTATTTTTACATGTGATAGAATCATCAATATTTTACTCAGATGCAATCATTCAAAAACAGATAAATATGCACCAAGAAAAAGTGGAAGCATGATTTGGGCCTCTGCAACCTCACAGGCTAACCCCCAGTTCAACTCTGAGAACCCAACCAAAAAATGTCACATTGGTGCATGTATCAAGCTTAACAGTACAACTGCATAATTCATTCATGACTACATGCAATATAACTTACAAACATTGGCAGTTTTTGAATCATTTCCATGTATATTGGCCACTTCACAGGTATAGTTCACATCATTACAGACATTTAAAAGATCAAGTGTACTCTTGTCACAAACTTGTCCTGATCCACATGGAGTCCAAGCATTTGTAGGCGGAGGTTTCCCTTCTGCTGTACAGTTAAGAGTGACACTTTGGTTCAAACCAACGATATACTCAGCTTGAAATTTACTGGTAAGAATCTTGGCTGGATCTGTAAATCAAAATGGAAAATAACAAATCAGATTAACAAACAACATCTACAAAAAGATGCATCTGAGTGAATTGCCTTCAAACCCAATGGGGTCCAATCATACCAGTACAATACAAACAAAAGGTTATTCTTGTTCTAGTCTGATGTTATGTAGTTGGGCTGATTTACATGGGTTTGCAAAAAGTTCTTTATAGTGTGATTCCAATTGTATGTAAACTGCTTTTGTCTGGATGTTAACTGGATGATCTCCTGACTATTCATAGAGTGATGCATGTTTAATATATTATTGGTAATTAAATTTTCATAATATTCAAGAATTAAACAAAAAACGTATTAACAAAGATTTAGTAATACATAGACAGGTAAAAATGAGCGATATAATATCCTGACGTTATGGCGACTTCATGAAGCCATTATCAAGGGTACAAATGAAAAGAAAATTAACAAAAGTGAGTTCAAGAGTTACAAGTAATTCGCATAGGGGAGGTCCTATGCACCCCCCCTATGCAAATTAGCTGTAACTCTTGAACTCGCATTTGTTCATTTTATTTTCATTTGTACCCTTGATAATGGCGTCATGAAGTCGCCGAAATGTCAGGATATTATATCGCTCGTTTTTACCTGTCTATGTATAAACAAAAAACCTTTTCAGATTGACACTCGGTAAACTATTGAGATGTGATTTCAAATTTTTGGGTTCAGACCTTACCATATAATTATGTTAAACTGGATTGTTTAATATTTTGAAATAAGCATCAACTGAACATATTTGCTAACACAGACAGTGGCTTAGTGAAACCCCTAAGCTACTTTGTGCTGGGAGGTATTTGCTGACTTCTGTTGATGGAAACCCCTCTTGAAATTAAGTTAATGTTGTGTTAGGAGGCTTAAGGTACCACTGTCTGTAATCTTCAAAGAGTACACAAGCTGTCTGAATACTTCTATTCTCCGAGCAATGAAAACATGAATATGTTTTCAGGAGGCTTTTTATTCTTAAAAGTTTCGATGGTATTTCTAATTTTCAGGATGCGTCACAACCAGAGGCAAGCAAATAATTATATTAAACCATGTTGATTCCATTTAGTTACACCGCATAAGATTGAAATTTGTGAAAACTAAAATTCTAGACAAAGGACTACTTCCAAGTATATCCTGCATATTTCTAGCAGCATCGTCGCCTTTCTCATCCTCCTACCAGCTACTACATGTAACTCCATTATTTTATAAAAAATTATAAAGGGATTGCTGGTTTTCACTGTGACACTCACATCACCATCATCAAAACCATTCAACAAATAAAGTCAATAATTAAAGAGATGAAATAAGATGACTATTCAAACAGTCTTGCAATGATTCAGGTCTGTGCGATGTATTATACAGAAGAAATCTGAAGAAATGTTTAACTACAATTTATAAGGATTGGTATGGAGACACCACGAGGGGTAAAAATATGGCAGCCCAAAGCTAACAAAAACATTTGTCATTGAGTTTTGCTACAAAAAGCTTGTAGTTGTTTTCTAAGGGATTGTAGACATTTCCATGAGTACTCCACGGGTCTCTCACAAGGACTGTTCAAATTACAAAACCTCATCAGAAAAGTCACCTTTTTTACTCGGAGTGACAGCATTCTCGGCTGTCATTATAATATTGTGCCATGCAAAAGTGAAGAAAATTCAACCTTACTTTTATCACTAGACAAAAAAACCCCATTAAACTGAAAAATTGTGAAAAGTTAAGTCTTCAGCTGTTCTAAAAACTATTTTATCTCCAAAGGATTGATAATTCCTTATATTTTAATTCAGAGGACATCACATGAATACCAAGAAGTAATATTTCATAAACATGGGCAAGCATTTCATCATGGTTTCCAAACACCAGAAAACTGATGAAAGCACAAGCTACTCCTACTGTTTTCAAGTATTTGGAAACCCTGATGAAACATGAAGCCTGTCAGTTTATGGAATGGCATCTCAAGAGGGCCTAATCTATTAACAAGAAATCAGAACGACCATGCAACACAACCAAATTTGGTTATGGAAACCATTTCACAATTAAAGGTCCCCAAAAATACATTTTTTAAAAAAATTTAATTGGGAGCCCTACAGGGATGTACCTAGCTAAACATCAATACATGTACATGTAATTGACAGTACACATTACAACATAAGAGATAAATGGAAAATGCATCTCTGTACAACATTTACTTAATAGTCAAATTTTTTTCAATGCATACTCACAAGTAACCTTTACGTAAACTGTTTGGCTCTCTGCTTTACCAAAACCATTATATGCTGTACAGCTGAATGTTCCTGAATCATTTCTGCTGATCTTTGTTATGGTCAGCACCTTTCCTTTAGATAACACATCAGTATTTCCTTGGTTCCCCGTCTCCTCTTTGGTCCAGGTGATGTTTGGTTCTGGTCTACCCACTGCTACGCAGGTTAACTGCAAGTTGTTGCCTTTAAGAACTGTTGTACTACCATTAAATCCAGAGATGTTTGTTGGAACTGGGGCATTAAAACAATCACAAGTAAACTTCAAGGATAACTGAAAGGCATGTACATTTTTAGCTACAATTCTAAATGTTCCTTGTAAACCTTCTACATGCAAATGAAATTCACATACATTAAGATTGTGCAATTAATACAAGAAATGAGTGCTTCACTATGCACAAATGTCTGCCTTAAAAAATTTGGTGGACTGGTCTTCATAAGGTAACTAATTTCTTGGAATCCTTTTCTCAGCCTTAACTGAGCATTAATATTTTAACCACAGTTTCCAGGAAATAGTTTTGTGAAAATTAATATTGAGACCCACTGGAGCTATTTAAAAAAAACATTTTTTGAATTTTTAGAGGCTTTAGGCCAGCAAAATGTCAATACAATGTAGCCAGTTATATTGTCAACATAAGTCACTCCTGAGAGTTTTCTTTTTTTGCAGCAAAACATCCTGGTTCTTGATTTCATTGCAAAAAACATCTCCTACTCTCAATTCTATATCGTGATCTTTGCTAAATATCTGCATGTAAAAGTAGAATATGAATGGAGAAAGATAAAACAAAGCAAGAAATTAGAGAAATTGCAAGAGAAACTCAGAGAGAAATGACAAAAAATCTCTCTGAATTGGATAAGGGCTCGTGGTTTACACTCATAAGCAACTTTCTTGCTGGCACACAACCAGAAACATCAGAGGGCATTGCTGTACCAAGTTCAAGCGGCTTAAAACTTGACATCAAAATTGTTACTGTGTGAAATTGACTAACCCTATGCAATTTTGCTCTTTTTCTATCATGTCAAACTAACCATGCATTACTATAACATTAAAAATTTCGGAAAATGTTAAATGCACACAAGTTATTTACAAAAACATTTTAGAACTGAATTATTTAGCCTTTCAAAGTTAGAGTGAATAGCCAATTATAGCATGTCAACATAAATGACTTCTGAAAGGATTTCTTCTGGCAAAACATTCTGGTCCTTGAATATCAATCACATAACCATCTGCTAACTTTGGTCGCTGGTGGAGATCTTTGCTCTCTCTCTGCATTTAAAACTACAATGCAAATGGAGAAAGATAGAAAGGAGAGAAGCTAGTCCAAGTAAAAAAGAAGCCTGACTGGCACAAGAAGTAAAGACCTTCTACCTGGAATGACAAATAGTCTCACCAAAAGGGATTAGGGCTGCTCACACTTGATCGGCATTCACTAAGTTTTGCAGTGGCATGCTTAAGCCGCTTTTAAGTTGAAAAATTAAAGAGTTGAAATAGAAATTGTCATTCACCTTTTTTCTTTTAACTGCCAAAGTCTGAGAAATTTTGACAAAACACATCTCATTAGGAATGGTGAAGGCTTTCCCATTCATTTATCATCATGATAGAGTAGCACAAAAGGCAAGGGACATGTCAGCATTTGATTGGCAATATCAAACACCCCTGAGAAAATTATCAAATCTCTTTGCAAGTTGCTGCACCTTTTTTAAGGGCTGAGAATCGTTGTATAACACTGCAGTTTATTTGATAGTTGTTTTGCCACAATGTTATCATGAATACATAAATATTACTGTGAGGAAATTTTTTAATCCTCTGATCACATGAGTTACCATTTATTCTTATTTATCTTGACGTGAATCCAAAGTTTGAGTTTTTTCCCTTACTGCATATTTTTTGTTTCTTCCACATGGGATTTTTTCTCCTTTCCCTCTTAAAGTAGAAATCCTTATTTCAAGAATATTAGTCTTGAACCTAGGATTGTTAGTCCCATTCTAAGAATAGCAAAACTAGTTTTAAGCCACTAAGATCTGAAAAAAAATGTAGATCATAGAAACCTTAAAACTAGTGCCAATAATGATCTAGTTTCAAGACAATATTTATCTTGTTACTAGACATTAAAATCTTATGAATTAGAGATCTTCTACTATTTATATGAGTTAACAGAAGATGTAGCAACAGAGTCGAGTAGACACAGAAAGCACAATTCCAGGACATTTTCTTTGCGTTCTGCATACATTGATACCTTTTAAGTTACAAGAAAAATACGTCCCTTTCATTGGACGAAAGTGACGTGTAACAGGGTCATGTGACAGTGTAGAGCACGTTTGGTGTGCACAGTCGGAAAGATGGAAGATGAGGAGGTTGCAATGTCAATATCTCTTACAAGCAAGGAAGAATTACAGGCGTTTACGAACAAAGAATTGTCAGACTTTTTGAAGAGGAAAGGTTTACTTGTAGAGCAGTGTCGCATTATTGAAGGTATGTTCTTTAGCGGTTCTGTTTGGCGATGAATTCTGCGCACTCAGGAGGGCATTAATTTCCTGCCCAAGTTTGGCGCTTATTATTCACTCATCTTCATCGATTTTTTCCGAAAAGCTTTGGTTGCAGATGCGTTAAATTAATAGTTCACGGAGTTAAAACTTGTGGCTGCTTACATGGAATTGTTTTTGACTGAATTTTTGCAATTTTACATTCCAATATGATTTGATCCCGGCTGTTCATAGTTTATTTTGATGCTTTTGCTCAAGAAAGGGACTCACTTCTCAATCGTTTAGTCGACGGTGATCATTATTCTGCTTTATGTAAATTTTCTAGAAGGCAATTTTTGATTCCTATAATTTTTGGATCACTAGATTTTCAGCACTATGAAATCCAAACAGTCAGATGAAAAATTTTGAGAGGATAAAAATATACATAATCTACCATTTCAATACTAAACATGTGCAACAATGCTATGTTTAAGTGGTTTTGAATGTCCCTGAATCATTTTAGCGATCACATGCAAGGCATGTTTTTCCAGTCTTCTGTTAGGGCAAGAATATTTTTCTCTTATTTTGTGGAGGCGCTGAGGCAGGGGTGAGATAGGAGATGAGACTGCCCACCCTCCCCCCCCAACCCAAAAAATTAATTTAGTCCATTTCTTACCGGGTTTGCTGAGGGGAGGGGACTAACTTTGTGACCACGCATGCATTGCAGATATCAAAACAGGAGGGAGATGGGCAGTGTTATAAATGTAAGTCATCCAAGCTAGACTCTTCTATGAGTAAAGAGTCATGATTGTGCAGCTCTTTTTTATTTTATGGTTTGTTTCATTGCATATTAGAATCTCCTGTCTATTCCTCTTCACATGGACAATAAAGTGGATGGAAAAATGTTTATCAAACTGACATGGACAGACTTATTGGACCTGCACCCTTCAGATTTCTCAGCAGGGAAGAAGTTTTGGGACTTCTTGAGTGAGTTGGTTAGTTTTCAGTTGGTACTTGTAAAATTCCTGTATGCCAACCACTTCAGAGGTAATTGAATAACGATTTCTGGCAGCCAGTTAAGCACAATGAGCAAAATGAACAATGTCAATGAACAAAACGACAAAAGCTAACTAGTTTTACAAGTTTTTGCTACAGTATGTTGAAAAGTGGCTAATTTTATTTAGCTGACATTGTTATTTAATACTTACTATTCATGTTTTCAGAGCTGGTTACAATTAGGCAAGGGGTTAGTTTTATAGGACTCTCAGATGGTAAAAACCTCTTATTGAAACCTCTGTGTCAACAATTTTGAATATTCTGTTATTGTTATAGACCCCTGTTGTTGAAATAGACTCTTAAAAGGTCTTAGCAGTACATTGTATATGCGGATATCACCAAGCTGGACGATGGTGGTTCATTTCTTACTAGAATGTTAATGGGTTTCAAAGAAAGTAGATGGTGTTGTGTTAGAAAAAAATTCCATGAATAAGCTATTCAAAGTCTTGGCAGAGGATACCAAATGGGTATTATGGATTTGATTTTAAGAGGTCAGTGGTATCTATAGTCATGTTATGAAGTTCAAGTTACAATTTAAGTTAATATCAGAAACAGTATTGTTTTTAGTGTAATAATTCCACTTGGCGCTCATCTTTGAATGTACTTTTCATCCGTTGATCGCTCGTGCATTAAGTTATTTCTTTTCTCGACTGTTTTGCTTAATATGACATCTCAAAAGATGTATTTTACCGTTGTTCAATGGGAGAACGAGAATAGTGTGAGTGTTGTATTAGTGAGAAGCAAGTCGTTGGCGCCGTGAAGTTAAAAGAAGGGACAACGTAACAGTGATATGGACTGGCCGATACAAGGGTCGAGCGGCCATTTATAAAGCTACGGATTCTGAAAGTTCGTGGTGAGTACAAATTGCGATATTTGGTACGTGATCAAACCTGAGAATCGAATCGGTCACATGCATGCCACAGTTTCTTAAGCTTATGCTTTACAATGAAATAAATCTATCAGTAGGCTAAAGGTTTCAGGATTGTTTATGTCGCGTTTTGAAATTTGCAAGCTGCAAGCCCAGCAGAAAAAGACAAACAGATACTTAGTCAGCAGTTAGGGATAACTTCATTGCAATTAATTATTACAGTTACAACAAGAATTTAATTTCAAAAAATCAATTATCTAACTGTAATTAAGCCCTTCACGCCCAAGAGGGCTCAGTCAAAATTGAGACGAAATCTCTAATTTCAACTTGCAGAATCAACAAAAACGAACAACATAGCATGAAGATGCTGCTTGACAGCTTACATTTGAATTTTAACACACTAGAGTTTTATCCAAAGTAGTTACAACCACATTAAATTAAGTCAAAGCCTGACTCAGGGAGGAAAAGATAAAATCTTATTTGTATCATCTTCCCAAATTAAATGACTTCTTTCAAGACTATTTTTTGACCGATAGTATTAATTGCAATAAACATAACCCAAGTTATTGCATTTCATGAAAAAGAATCAACAGATTTCATTCANCCAACTTTCCCCCTCCCCCTCCTTCACCGCACTAAGCCCTCTTTACTTTCTTTCCTTCGCCCGATCCATTCAGTGTTGACGGTTTTTGAATGCGGGTTCATGACTAGCTTAGGGGGATTCTTTGGCCATAGGGTAATATTCTGTTAGATGACTTATTGGACTCTAGATGCCTCAGTAAACCTACTTTCTCTTTAGAGTTAAGCAGCTTTTTAATGACTTAATGCTATTTGGTTAGGGAGCTGATGAGTCAGATCATGAAAATAAAGTGAATGACGACGAGATTCCTACGAGTGACCCTCACAAACTCTTGGATGTCGACCTCAGCAAGTATGTCCGACTCTGTCACTTGTACTTCCTCTGTTTTCACGTTTTGACCCTAAGATTGACCAGCATTTATTTTCTTACAGCATCACCCCTGAATCACACATTAAAGGATCCCTTCCAACCACAATACATTGCGCGCGCGATATGTGAAATCCGCCATTTTCTCTGCCATTCGGTATTGGACAAGTCGTGAAGTGGAAAGAAATCCTCGTTCATCCGAGTACATTTGCCTCGCTGAGGTCTTGAATTTCCTCAATCGCGGTCCAAATTTATTGTTCTTTCTATTTGACTAGTTATTTCTTAATTATTTTTTCTGTTTGGGCGCGCAGGGTATTGTGGTTGGAAGGGATCCTTTAAGCATGTAAATAAATTTCATTGACTACTTGAATTTATATTTGGGAGTTAATGCACGTATTTATTTGATATTAGTTGCCTTGAAGCATACTTAAAATTCCCAGTAATTCTTAAACATTCCTAGAAATTCCTAAAAAATTCCTTGGAGTTTCCAGCAAGTTTTAAGATTCACAGTAATTTCAGGGAAGTCATCGGTGCTCTGAGTTGGAATTCTTAGGAATTCCAAGTCCTGTTGGCTTCTGAACGTGGAATTTTTGGGAATTTCTAGGTTTTTTTGAGATTTCTAGGTTTTTTCTGGAATTTCTAGGCTTTTTGGGAATTCCCGGTCTGAATTACCGTGAAAATTCACAACTCTTATTCCAAGTAATTCTTAAGAATTCCTAGGAATTCCAAGATCCATTCCGCAAGGGTTAAGCGGCTTAGCTTCGTTCAGTCTGTTATATTTATTGTACGATTTTAGGCCGTTAACTAACGGCTTAATTTCGTTCAGTCTGTTATATTTATTGGGAGATCTTAGGCCGTTAACTAGCGACTTCATTTCGTTCAGTGTGTTATATTTATTGGGAGATTTTAAGCCGTTTGTTAATGGAGTTATATTTATTGGGAGATTTTAAGCCGTTTGTTAATGGATTAAAATCGTACAATATATAGAATGAGTTAGCGACCTAAAATCTCTCAATATAAAGACCGAGATAGTCGTTTAATAAGCCGTTATCTGATCGCCCATTGTGTCATGCACAAATTTAGTAACATTAACTCCAATTAATGATATGAATTCTCCGCGAGGATTAACGAAGTTTTTTTCGCTGAGAAACTCTAACACTAAAAATGACGTATGCGGATAACAATATTTTAAAGTTGACGTGTGTCTCTCTAGAAGTCAGCAACACTAAGACTTGCACTTGAATAGCTCGTTTCCAAGTATCAAGATTGGAATCCACTACCTCGCAGCTAAATTCTCCATTAGCCTTATCGTCCGCAACAGTCACTGCAGAGATAGACAGAGAAACTGTTCCTATAGTTGAGCTTACGCTGAGCCATCTCGGAAAATTATCACCAACTGGACCAGCTGAACCATCTGAGTTAATTTTGACTAGGCGAACATTTTTGAATCTTATTCCACCAAGATCTAGACCTAACGTCAGACTGTAGCTCCAGTTCAGTGTAGCAGGTTTCCCTTCATAAACCGGTACAATGAAAACAGGGAGCACGTCAGCTGGATTCGATGTAGTCCTAACAGGAGCAGGTTCATACCACGTGACACTTCCGCCATCTGAAGGAGAAATAAATTATTTTAAATTGTAGTTATGATACTACGATTCATGCTTATGATTTCAGCGAAACAAGATTGGCTTTCCTCTGATTTTGAATTAAAACACCGTATACATTCTAAAAGGTTCAACAATCTGCTGCGGTCAATATGAAATTATTCTAAATGAAGCCTTACAATGATCCGAGTTCTGATACGAAAGAAGGAAAGTAGACAATAAAGATATGAGTACAAATGTAGGTTAATTGCGATACCTGTGAGTTGAGGTATGAGTGAAATCCATATAAAGATAAATTTCAAATGACGAATCATTTTAGGAATATCCTTCGTGCCTAAAGATGAGTACACCACATGGAAAAATAATCGCTACAAATAAACGACGAAGAAGCTAGCGAGGACAGAAATAAAACGAGAACTGATTGGCTATTGAATAATGACGGTGTTTTAGATGAAGGTTCTGATTGGTTTAAGAATGTGTGGGTAAAAGAAAAGGAAGAGAGAAAAGGACTAACACGCCCGATTGATAAGTTGTTTTAAAAACGGCCCAGAACCTAACGAAGCCTTTCAATCTAAATATGCAAAATTACTTCATGAAATAGAAAAATTATGTCTAGAAATTTTCCGTTTTTGAAGGATTAGGATTGAGATGACGAGCCCTTAGTTGTAGCCTACTCGAGAAGAAATATTTCGATTCCCGCTTCTTTCAGTTTCTCCGTCTCCTTTCGCATCATAAAATAATTTATAGTTGTAATTATTCTCAGAGCAGAACCTGAGGGATCAAAATGGGCGAAAAGCGGAAGTAAAGCCGGGGAAATACCTAGCGTTTTTATTCACCGATTGCGTCGAACTTGACCGACGTAATCGGCGTATAAAAATTCCGATATCTGTCATGACAAATTCGCCGATCGCAGCGATCGACGAAACTCGCTATCATCCCACCGTACACATAGCGACTTTCGCCAATTGCCTCGATCGGCTTGTAAAGTCGCTGTGTGTGTCGCTGACTTAAGTCTTTGTTCGAAGACTTCCGGGATTGATACGGTCAACTTTACTTTTTGTTATGTTTAAGGAGGTTTGAAGGCGTTTTAGGAAATTCACTTTTAGACCTCCTGTTTATGCTCGCGTTGATCATTGTCTGGATCGCGAAAATCAAAGCTTTCCTATGGGGAAGCAACCTGCAGGTCTGTTTGAAAATATTGTTCAGTTCCTAAGTTATCAGCATTTTTATCTTTACGCAGTGCTGAGAACTTTTCTCCTGTTCTTTCTAGAATTCTCCCAACCCTAAGGGTGTCTAGATGAGGCTGCTGTGTCAAGTAAAAAAAGTTCCCTGTTGCTCTAACATATTTCTAAAATATAAGAATGGACAAAGAAATTAAAAAAGATTACCCTGTATCAAGAAATGGTTCACTGATCTCGATGAACTTTTCGTATTAGCATCATGCAGAGGTCCCTTTGTTACTGAAAGTACGAAAGGACTTCAATCGAAACTGGTTGGAAAACCTCGGGATTAAAATGAATGGGGGCGTTGTGAGCCTCACAACTTCCCAATACATTTTGATGCCAGCTTATCGATATCAGCAAAACCAGACAGGTTCTGAAAAACCTGTATTAAACGTAAATCGTACATTAATGAATTCACTAACAACCACAAGAGGAACGAAAAGATGTAAATTACAAGCAAACTACGCTGTTTTTTGGCCTGAGGATTTTGTCCCGAGTTTGCAACTCAATGAAAAAGACAACTGTCGCATCACCGCTCGCCTGGCAAACAGAAGAGCAGAAATCTGTTACTGCATATTTCTTGTTTAATTTGAACCTGCGGAAAATGGACTTCCGACAAACTGACAGAGAACTTAACTAGACTTGCTTACACTTGTCTTAAATGCCTCTACGTAATGAGGTTTAAAATTTCCGCGACTATTAAGCTAACCAGACAATGAACTTAACAAACGCGATTAGATAACATAAAATGAATTAGAACAGCTGTAGAAGTATTGAATAGTTCGGTAAAAAAAATTTAAAATAGACTTCCTGTCATGATGACAACACGAGCTAAACTTAGGGATCGATAGATGCATATGAGTAAGTTTATTAGTAAGTTCATGTAGAAACAACCGGGGTACATTAAACGGTGACCAATACTTTCCAAGACGCTTATCACATCATGATTAGAACTGAACTTTCTTCTTTCATCGCAACTATACTTTTTCATTTCTTTGTTCTGTCCTCTAAAACATAATAGCAGAATTAATTTCATCAATTCAAAGAAGCGTATTACTTTCTAGATCTGCAGGGTTTGAAGCCGCGAAAGGGACGAAGATGGACTGAACTACGTGTTTGCACGTGGGTGTCATCTAATGAAATTTACAAAGTTCATCAATACAACAGCCGCAGCAATTATCTCGCCTTGTAAAGTATTTCAATGTGAAAGTGAGTTCTGGCTTTGAACCCTATAACATCCATAAAATATAACTCGATATACCCACAGCTGAAAGGATTTTTTTGTCGTATTTTACAACATTTATCATGCCATTCAGCGCTTTGTAAAGCAAAGTTACATCAGCTAAAACTCTTCTTTGATCACGTGATAGTAAGTTCAGTTTCTTTTATCAGATTTCATACTCATACTCCGTCTTTGAGATGAATTTGGTGGCTTTTTTCTGTCACTCTCTCAAGTTTTGAAGATTTTCCCTGATATAAGGAGACCTTACCCCCGAGCAGTATATATATACATCCTATTAGACGTTTTGTTATGTAGTATCGCTGGGTATTTTTACGAGTTGTGCTGTGTTTTGACAAGCCCCGTAGGGCGAGTCAAAATACAAATAACGAGTAAAAATACTCAGCGATAGTACACAACAAAACGTCTAATAAGTTATTTATCATCTCAATACTAAAC